AGTCGAGGATGAGGTCTTTAGCTGATGCAGACTGTAGGTGACGGCTGGCCCAAGGCCTGTACTGCTGCTGAAGAACCGTCTCTCCCTTCCTAGCCTACCTCCTACTCCACTAGCGGTAATCTACAGCTAGTACTTACTCTCAGAAGGAGTCAGACCGCGCTGCTCTCCAGCAGACCACTGTCCGGTCCCAGCTGTTGACTCACTCACCGGTGCCGCCTTATCTGGTCGCCCTTGGCGCACAGGTACAGATTGGAACATTTGCCATTGGTCATCTGGTGACCCCCCTGGAAAGTTGGTACTGGGCTCCTGAACAGTCGGACCTACTTCGTTATCTTCGCACCAACGAAGCCACCACCTCTCCGCCATTCGCAGCCTGGCGATCGACGGCAGCGCTGGGTCGATCTGGAGCTCAGTCTCACTCGGATCGCTTCCTAGCTCGTCGATCCGGCCAACGACTGTCCTCAAAACTGCTACTATCCCGCTTCTGATGTCAGCATTACATCTATTCTCTAGGTAATCAAGATGAAGCCGCTCGTGCAGTCTGGCACAAGGCTTCCTGAGGAGGTCCACCAGTGGAGGGATGAGCACCGTCACGAGCCTGGCATCGAGAGCTTGTGGTGGGTAAGCCTCGAGCACGAGCTTGATGACTCTGATCGCATTCCTCGTCGCCAGTAAGGAATTCAAGTCGTGTTCGAGTACCTCCATCCTCTCGTCTACAATGCAAATTGCCTCTAAGTCCTCGAACAAGCCGATTACAGGTACCCAGGCCGGATTTCCCAGAGACGCCCAGAAGATCAGAACCATCCGGGCAAAAAATGTATGGCCGTAATTCTTGATGCGAATGCGACAACCTGTGTGTTGTCGGGAACCTAAGGTTTGACGACCCCTTCTTTCCGCAGCGAGAAGAATGTACGCTAGGCTCTTGAATAATGACGCGAAGAAGTTTCTTCTCTGGCTAGGATTGTCGGGTAGAATGCTCTCCACCTCCACTGGTACTCGTCTTGGATCCTGTCCAGGTTCGTTCACTCTGCGGCAGGTTGTTGTCCGGTCCGATCGCGGGGGTGGATCTGTTTGCCATGCACGCACCATGGTTACGTTGTCGCCGATCTCGTTCACTTCTGGTGAACGCGGCCTTTCTAGGGAAGGCCGGTCTCCGGAAGGCCGGTCGCCTTGCGCGCCCTCTGCATGAGCAGAGGATGGTCTGCTGCTTTGCACCACGAGGGTGCCAAGGGCAGCACGACTCCGTTGCGAGCCCTGCCCAGACACCACTGGCGCATCTGCCCCAGGAGCAGATGGCCCTGCTGTGCCATCACAAGGGGTGCGAGGGGAAGCGCCACTACCCGCTTGGGTTTCGCTGGGGCTTACTACCTGTTGGGCCGCGTCCCTCCCAGCCATTGCAATTCGCCCCGCTTCAAGCAAGTCCGCTAGGAGTCCAGCAGCGGCCGCCGAGCACGGTGTTGGGTGGTCGTTGCCCGTCATTGACCAGGAGTTTATTCGAGGCGTTGAGAGAAAATCAACTGAGGATTGATCGAAGTTCTCCATATTAAGAGAGAATCGGACCGCTCGAATTCGACTGACCTGTGGATTGAACATTAACCTAAGACAATCGACCCCTCCAGGGGATTTAGAGATCTTGAGCTTCAGGTCTCGTTTGCTCTCTTCGGAGGCAACGTGAAGCAGATCTCGCAGCGATTCAATTGTTTCAATAGCGAACCAATCCAACTCCCGCGTCCCGAGTGCGCGTCGCCAGTAGATAAGACACTCCAGCAGAAGCATGGCAACACCTGTGTCGGCCTCCTTGACTTTCTGCGAGATGAAGATCTTTGCCAAGTGCAGCTGCGAGAAGGCGGAGAACGGCGTCGGATTAGCCAGGCACAGCTCAAGCAGCCGCCGTAACACCTGAAGATTCACCTCTCTGCTATCCCTTCCCATGTCAGCTAGAGCAGGAGGCAAATCTTCCACCATAATGGCATTCGTAGCACCTTGAGCTCGATGATATTCGTTGTCCTTCGTCATCCTCAAGTCGTGCCGATGCCAGTACATCACCCTACGTGTCCACAGCCAGGATAGAGTCCTGATGCAGTCCGCAGCAATATTGCGCGAAGCCTCACGCTGCGCACAGCTCAGTAGGATCGACACCGTCCTCTGATTGCTCAGGAAATCCCTTACAGCCGCCACCCAAATCTCATCCACACGCACAAACCCTCTCGGCCATGGAGTGTCAAGAGGTCATCCTACCGGACAACAGGTTGTGAAGGCGTAGCTGAGCCTGCTCACGTACCCCCTCATTGCCGGGTGATCGTCATTCAAATGCCTACTAGCTCGCAGAGCTTTTCCGACAGCACAGTGAACAAGCGCATTGACATCGCTTGCGGCGTGCGCAAACGAGCAGATAGCAGAGGCAGCGGCTTCCTGAACGCGCAGCTTTTGAACGCTTGTTGGATCAGAAGCTCCAGACGCATACGGTTCCAGCAGGTCGAGCAGGACGTAGAGCAAACTCTTGGTGCAGTACCTAAAGTCGTCGTCTGCGAGCATATTGATGATGAAGTCGGTATCCTCGCTGTCGCGATCTGGCTGCCAAGGGAGGACAGAAAGTCCTGCAGCAAATCCGGCCAGGGTAGAAGCTGCAAGCTCCGCGTAGACGGAGTCTGGCGGACAGCATATGAGCACCTGCAGCATCGCAAGATAGCCTTCTGCTTGAGCAAAGTCGCGACCCGCATCTATGTCGTGTCTACAACGGCTCGTCTGCGGCAGATCCTGAATAAAGCACGCCGTCTCATTAGACACGAACAGATCAAAAGTGTCCCAAGCCTTCCACGCTCTTGACAACTCGAACCAGGACTCCAATGCCATAGTAAGCTTCCCTCCCGTCATGATCTCTTGTCCTCGTTCATCCCCTCCGCGATACTCGTCTTTAAGATTGGGTAGGTGGCTTCTTACAATGTTCAACAGCTCCTTCACGCTGTAGAACCAATAGCCGTGTAGGCCACACTGGTCTCCGTGTGCTAGAGCTTCCGTGGGACCGAATTCAATGTGCCTATCCCGATGGACATACCACGTGATACCCGTCTCCATCTCCCTTTGGAACCGATCCGATCGCTCTAAGAAGGGACCGCCAATGTTCCTCGACTGGATACTTGCGGAGGCGGCAGAACGTCCACAACCGCAGCACCATGTGAAAAGCCGTATGCATTGCATTAGCAGGCAATACAGGAGAGAGAAGTAGATCAACAAGAAGACGAGAGAAGAGTGCACACTAAGGCAGAGGCACGTGGCGTACAGGAACTCTTCAAGACGCTGTACACCCCAGTCTGTGTGATACTCAGGGTGAGCCTTAATGGCAGGGACATGTCTGTACAGATACCATGTAAGGGTAACGTACTTGTTCAATCAAAAACGTTAATCGGATGATAGCAATTAGAGCGACATACGCAAAGGTGGACATTAACTTTCCGCCGCCATATTGCAATCTCCCGACTTTGAACCTGTACGATTTGCCCTGGCAAGTGGCAACCTGCCGGCATGACAGGCTGGTGAAATAAACCTTGTGGACGAAACGTCGTGAGAACTTAGACGTAGCTTCGAGAACTGTCAATGCCACGCACGGCCACAGGATTTCCCTGGACATAAATTGTCCGAATGCACCCAACGCGACTGATAGAAACAGTACTACCAAATAACCCATGCCTTCCTCTACTAACCGGTCAAAGGTAACATACATCTCTACCTGAAACTTGAGCCTAGGCGATGCGGAGTACACCATCTTGCCTCTACTCAGTTCCACGTCAAGCTAAGAAACACCCTCCCCGCTACCCA